CAGGTTAAGTTTTATTAGGCGAAAGAGTTTTTAGATAGGTGTTTGCAAATACACATTGATGACCTCTCTAAGATTAATAATTTATACAATATAATATACTGTTTTTTAAGGTTTATAGGGGTGAAACAGTTTATCATTTATTAAAAGAAAGAGATAATTATTTTATAAGACAAAAGAGTTTTTTATTTGTGCTAAAGCATTGAACGGACTAGGTTGTATAGTAATTACAATTTATTTAAAAAGTGTCGACTTTTCAAGTTTATAGGGCGAAAAGATTTACTTTTAAGATTAGCTTGTAAGCATAGAAAATAAGTGTTTTATAAAGAATATTGTCAATTTTACGGTTTATACGGTAAAACGAATTTTATATACGTATTTGATTTTATTACAAAGAAATTCGAAGTTAACAGGGTGAAAGTATTTTTCGGTGAAGTGTTGTTATACATATACAAAAAAAATTCAGATGTAGTGCTTAAAAATGAGTAAACTAGCGATTTAAACGAAAAAAAAACAATCTGACTGTTAGGTTTATAGGGCGAAAGAAATATCAAATACTATATATACAAATTTATTCCCCTTATAGGGCGAAGGGTTATTCTGAATGGTTAAAAGCTTTGAAGGAAAATTTAATATTTTTACAACGAACTTGGAGCTATCTTCTAACGAGTTACTAAATTAGTGTTTTATGCAAAGATATTCGATTTTGTTTGTTAGGTATATAAAGGCTTTATAGGGTGAAATATTTTTTACATAAGTGTTATATTGAAGGAAATTGGATTTTATTAGGTTAATAGGTCGAAATAATATTAAGAGGTGTGTTCATAAAAAAATCAGCTTTTGTAGGTTTTGTAGCGGCAAGACAATTTGTAAACTAGTATTTTATACAAAGAAAACCGGCTTTGTAAGGTTTATAGGTGGAAAGAATTTTAAGATTGGTGTATTATAGAAAGGAATACGTCGTTTTAAGGTTTGTAGGTGGAAATAATTTTTAGGGAATTTTTAAACAGAAAATTTACTTTAAGTTTGTAGGGCTAATAGGGCGAAAGAATTTTTACAGAAGTATGTAAATACATAGAAAATCGGCTTTTGTAGATTTTGCAATGCGTAATAATTAGTCAATTAGCGTTTTATACAAAGAAACGCGACTTTGTTAGCTTGTAGGTCAAAAGAATTTATTTTATAGAAATAAATTCCATGTATTAAAGTTAAGGCGTAAGAGTTTTTCAGAGAAGTGTGTTATATACAAAGAAATTTGGCGTTTTTAGGTTTTGTAGTGCGTAAAAATAAGTAAATTAGCGCATTAAACAAAGAAATCCGAATTTGTTAGGTTTATAGGGCGAAAGAATTATCAAATACTCGTTTCCGTCTATCTAATCCGAATTGTTATATTTTTGAGTTTAATAGCGCGAAAGAATTTGTAGGCAAGTATTTAAAATAAAAGTTAAGTAAGTTTTATATGGTGACAGATTTTTGTGGGCTAACGTTTTGTATAAATTATTTTTTAGGCTTTCAGGACGTAAGAATGCAGAAATGTCATAATAAACAACCTTTGAATGAAATTTTCTTAAAGATTCCATTTTTTTAGTTTGTAAGGCGAAAGAATTTCTAAATTATGAGTTTTATTAATATTTGGCTATTTTTAGATTTTATACGGCAATATAATTTTTTTAAACTTGATAGGATAAATCTGTATGCACTGTAGGAAACAATATTGGCTCTAGGGTTTGGGGGCGAAAGAATATTTATTGTCTAATTAATTCAACTTTATAAGTTTTAGAAGGCGAATGAGTTGTTAGGTTTGCGTTAGTAAATACCCATTGAAGGAACTAGGCTTCGTAAGACTAATAATTTATACAATGAAATTCGGCTTATAGGTAGGAAAGAATTTATCATTTATGCAAAGAGATAATTATTTTATAAGACGGAAAAGTTTTTTATTTGTGCTAAAGCATCGAACGTACTAGGTTTTGTTATATTTACCATTTATATAGAAATATCGACTTTTTATGTTTATAAGGCGAAAAGAAGTATTTTTAGATTTAAGCATTTAAAATGAGTGATTGATAAAAAGAATATTGACCATATTACGTTTATAGGGTAAAAGGAATTTTAGATTGGTGTTTTAAACAAAGAGAAATTTCACGTTTTAAAGTTTATAGGGCGAAAGGATTTTTCGGAGAAGTGTGATGTACAACGAAATTCGGATTTTGTAGGTTTCGTAGTGCGCAAAAAGGGTAAATTAGCGTTTTAAATAATGAAAAACCCCTCTTTGTTAGGTTTGTAGGGCGAAAGAAATATCAGATACTCGTTAGTAAATAAGATTTGAGTGAACTAGGCGCCGCGAAACATGTGTTTTTTAGATTTAATTAGGTGAAAGAATTTGTAGACAAATGTTTTGTAGTACAAAGAAATCCTCTTTGAGGTTTGCAGCGCAAAGTAATTCGGTAACGCCATAATAAATAAGCTATGTATGAACTCCGCATCCGTAAGATTCTATTTTGGAAGTTTAACAGTGCGTATGAATATTTCGATTGGTGTTTTGGTTGGTGTTAGAAATTTTGTAATGTTAAATATATCTTCATACATAGAACCGTGACTGTAAGATTACAGGGCGACAAAATTTTCCGAGACGTAATAGTATGTAAGCATTACCTTACATCGAATGACTAATATTTAAGTTTACTACAGGGCGAAATAATTTCTAGTTCAGTGTGTTATTGAAAGAAAAATGACTGTTTTTAGGCGTTTTATAGGGCGAAAGAATACGTAGACGTGAGTTAATAACGTTTGAATAAACTAGGAGCTGCAAGATTCTATTTTACAAAGAAATACAACTTTAAGAGGTTTATGGGGCGAAAGAATTTGAAGATAAATATTTTAAACAAAGAAATTCGGTGTGTTTTTCATTAAAGGACAAATACATTTTTAGGTTTATATTTATACAAAGAATTGTTAATTTTTAAGGTTTAAGGGCGACGGGATTTTCGGAGACGTGAGATAGTATAGTAGATAGTATTTTAACACAGAACTTAGAGCTCTCTTCTAAGCATTACTAAATTAGTGTTTTATAGAAAGAAATTCGACTTTGTTAGGTATATAGCGCAAAATAATTTCAAGATCAAAGTTATAAAAAGAAATTCGATTTTTATAGGATGAAAAATATTATAAAGTGGAATAATCAAGAAAATTGGGTTTTATTAGGTTAAAAAGACGAAATAATTTTTAGACTTTACAAAGAAATTTAGCTTTAGCAGGTGTAGGTGTGTAAAAGAATTTCAAAATGAGTGTTTCTACAATAAAATTTAACTTTTAAAAAAGAGAAAAATGGCAAGTGTTGAATATAAAGAAATTCGGCTTTTGTAGGTCTTGTAGCGCAAGACTAGTAAATTAGTATTATATTTTATACAAAGAAAGCCAATTTTGTAAGGTTTAAAGGGAAAAAGTAATTTTAAGATTGGTGTTTTATACAAAGGAATACGACGTTTTAAGAATTTTATAGAATTGTTTTATACGGTAAAATTTGATATTATTAGGTTTGACAAATAGGGCAAAAGAATTTTTACAGAAGTTTTATTTACATAGAAAATCGGCCTTCGTAGATTTTGCAATACGCAAAAAATAGTTAGCTTAATTTTTTTTGCCTAAACTTTTGCTATGTTGTACCAAGAAATTTGACGTATTAAAGTTTATAGGGCGTAAGAATTTTTCAGAGAAGTGTGTTTTAAACAAAGAAATTTGGAGTTTGTAGGTTTAAAAGTGCGTGAAAATAAGTAAATTAGCGTTTTAAACAAAGAAATCCGACTTTGTTAGGTTTATAGGATAAATTTTAAAATACTCGTTAATAAATAAGGTTTGAATGAACTAGGCGTCGTAAAATTCTATTTTTAAGTTTCGTAGGGCGAAATTCGTAAAGAAGTATTCACAGTAATTTCTGCTTTTATAAGTTTAGAAAGTTTTATTCCAGAATAGAATTTGTATACTAATGTTTTTATAAAAAAATCCTTTTTAGGTTTGCAGGTCGAAAGAATCCAGAAACGTCATAATAAATAAGCTTTGAATGAACTCTGCTCTGTAGGATTCGGTTCTAGGGTTTGAGGGCGAAAGAATATTTAATGTATTATTAATTAAGCTATTTAAGTTTTAGAAGGCGAAAGAGTTTTTAGGTTTGTGTTAGTAAATACACATTGAAGGAACTAGGCTCTGTAAGATTAATAATTTATGCAATGAAATTCGGATTTTAAGGTTTATAGGGGTGAAACACATTATTATTTATGCAAAGAAAGAGATAATTATTTTATCGGATGAAAGAGTTTATTATCTGTGTTGTTCTAAACCATCGAACGGACTAGGTTTTGTAATATTTACTATTTGTATAAAAATATCGACGTTTTAGGTCTTAGGACGAAAAAATGTCATTTTAGATTAGTTTTTAAGCTGAAGAACATTAACCATTTTACGTTTATAGGGTAAAATAAATTTTAGATTGGTATTTTATGTATAGAAATTCAACGTTTATAGGACGAAAGAATTTTTCGGAGAAGTGTGTATATACCAAGAAATTTGGATTTTGTAATGCGTAAAAACGAGTAAGCTAGCGTTTTAAACAAAAACCGACTTCGGTTTATAGGGCGAAAGAAATATAATAGATTTGAATGAACTAGGCGCCATAAGATTCTTTTTTTTTAATTTATAGGACAAATGAAATTTTCAATTGGTGTTTTGGGAAAAGAACTGAACATTTCAGACTATACCGCGAAAGAATATAGATATTGGCGTTCCATACAAAGAAGTTTCATTTTTGCATCGTTATAGGGATTTTGTAGGCATTGTAGTACGTTAAAATGAGTAAACCAGCGTGTTAAATAAAGAAATCCGACTTAGCAAGGTTTATAGGACGAAAGAATTATTAGATACTCCTTAGTACATATCTATAGTAATTTTTAAATATATCTTAATAAAAAATCGTGACTTTGTAAGGTTTACAAGGCGACAAAGTCTTCCGAGACGTAAAGATTATATAAGCATTGAATGAACTTTACATTGAAAAATTCAATTTTTTAAGTTTACAGGGCGAAAAGGTATCAAGTTTTCACAAGTTTGACTTTTGAAGGTTTATAGGGCGAAAGAATTTGTAGATTATAGTTTTGAACCAAGCAATTCGACATTTTTAAGAAATAGTATTTTTATGAAGAAATTCGTGTTAAAGTAGAGCAAAAGGATTTTTCGGAGAAGTGTTGTAATATACAAAGAAATTCGGCTGTAGGTTTGTAGTGCGTAAAAATGAGTAGCATTTTAAACAAAGAAATCCAACTTTGTTAGGTTTGTTTATAAGGCGAAAGAAATATTAGATATTCGTTCGTAAATAAGATTTGAATGAACTAGGCGCTGAAACTTTCTATTTTTTAAATTTAATAGCGCGAAAGAATTTGTAGACCCATGTTGTGCATAAATAAATTATTTTTTTAGGACAGGGCGAAAAAATTCAGAAACGCCGTAATAATAAACAAGCTATGCATGAACTCCGCACCGTAAGATTAAGTTTACAGGACGTAAGAATTTTTAGATTTTTTTGGTAAAATCAATTTGACAATTGTATGATTTTATAGGGCGAAAGTATATAGGGATTGGCGTTCCATAAAAAGAAATTTAACTTTTGAATTTTTAAACGGCGAATGAAATTTTAAATTATTTTTATACAAAGAAACGTGACTAAGGTTTACAGGGCGACTAAATTTTCCGAGACGTGATAGTATAGAAGCATTAAATGAACTTTACATCGAAAGACTAATATTTAAGTTTACTACAGGGCGAAATAATTTCTAGTTCAGTGTTTATTGAAAGAAATTTGGCTATTTTTAGGTTATGTAGGGCGAAAGAATACAAGTACCAAGTTATACACGAAGTTTTGAAGGTTTATAGGGCGTTGGAATACGTAGACGTGAGTAAATAAGCTTTGAATAAACTAGGAGCTGCAAGATTCTATATTATAAAGAAATTCGACTAAGGTTTATGGAGCGAAAGAATATTTAGATTATTATGATTTTAACAAAGAAACTCTGCTTAGGTTTATATTTATATAAAGAAATGTTAATTTGTTAAGGCTTATGGGGGCGACTGGATTTTCGGTGATGTGATAGTAAATATATATATAGTATTAAATGACCGTTGCGACACATACATATATTTAATTTCTGTAATTACAACACGAAATTATTTTTTCACTAGATTTTATAGGGTGAAAGAATATAAATACCAAGTATTACACAAAGAATTTTGACTTTGGTTTATAGGGCGAGAGAATTTGTAGATTGTACAAATTAGGTATATCGAACCAACGAATTTTTTTAAACGTAATATGATAAAGCTTTGAAGGCTCTAGGGATATATAATAATATAATCATAAAGAACTTCGATTCGAGGGTTTGGGGGCGCCATAATATTTGGATTAGTGTTTAATACAGTAATTCGGCTTTTTAAGTTTTAGAAGGTGAAAGATTTTATCATTTATGCAAAGAGAGAATTATTTTTGTAAGACGAAAGTGTTTTTTATTTGTGCTGAAGCATCGAAATAGACTAGGACTTTTGTAATAATTACCTTATTTTAAAATAATCGACTTTTTAGTTTTATAGTACGAAAATATGTTTTTTTAGTTTAGTTTTTAAGTATTGAAAATGAGTGTTTCTTATAAAGAATATTGACCATTTTAAGATTATAGGAATTATAAACGGAATTCTGGATTAATATTTTATTCACAAAGAAATTCGACGTTTTAAAGTTTATAGGGCGAAAGGATTTTTCGGAGAAGTGTATATACAAAGAAATTCGGCTTTTGTAGGTTTCGTAGAGCGTAAAAATTAGGAATCTAAAATGAGTAAAAAGTATAAAGTAAACTAGTGTTTTGAACAAAAAAAATCCGACAGGTTTATAGGGTGAAAGAAATATCAGATATTCCTTAGTAAATAAGATTTGAATGAATTAGACGCCTAAACATTATATTTTTTTTAGATTTAATAGGGCGAAAGAATTTTTAGAGTAATGTTTTGTATAAAGGAATTCTTTTACATTTTTAGGGCGAAAGAAGTTAGTAACGCCATATAATAAACAAGTTGTATATGAACTTATCGTTTTATGTAGGGCGAAAGAAATTTTAAATATACATAAACATGGCTGATATTTACAAGGGACTAAATTATCCGAGACGTTGATAGTAAATAAGTTTCGAATGAACTTAACATCGAAAGATTCTATTTTTAAGGTTACAGATCGAAATAATTTTTAGTTCAGTGTTTTATTTTAGGAAATATGGCTATTTTTAGGTATTATAGGGCGGAAGAATATAAGTACTAAGTTAGAGGTTTTCAAGGTTTTGTAGGGCGTTTGAATGTGTCAATTTATGTTTTAAACAAAGAAAGACGTATTTTGCGTTTATAGGGCGAGAAGACTTTTATGTTAACAAAGAAATTTTTAATGCTTACGGAGCGACTGGATTTTCGGAAATGTGATAGTACATAAGCATTCAACCTTGGTGCACAAATATTCTATTTTTTGAAGCTTACAGGGCGAAAGAATTTAACAATTTTGCTGTTTTTAGGTTTTATAGGGCGATAGACTTTTTGAAACGTAATAGTATGAAGTTTTCAATGCACTAGTAGAAACTGTATGATTTACAAAGACCTTCGGCTCTAAGGTTTGAGGGCGACGAATTTTTAGGTTACTTTTTAAGCATTGAAAAGTATTGTTTAATAAAAAGAAATCGACCATTTCATGTTTATAGAGGAAAAGAAATTTAAGATTATTTTATGCAAAGAAATTCGACGTTTTTAAGTTTTATGGTGAAAGAATTTTTCAGAGAAGAGTTCTATACAAAGAGAATTTGCTTTTGTAGTGCGTAAAATTGAGTAAATTAGCGTTTTAAACAAAGAAATCCGACTTTGTTAGGTTTATAGGGCGAAAGAATTTTTAGTTGTGTTTTATTCAAAGAAATTTGATTATGTAAGATATAGAGGGTGAAAGAAACTGTATATTATTGTTTTGAACCAAGAAATTCGACCTTTATAAGAATTGGTATTGTTATAAGAAAATTCGACGTGTTAAAGCAGGGCGAAAGGATTTTTCGGAGAAGTGTTGTTATATACAAAGAAATTCGGTTTTTGGAGGTTTTGTAGTACGTTAAAATGAGTAAAACTAGCGTTTTAAATAAAGAAATCCGACTTATAGGGCGAAAGAATTATCAGATACTCGTTAGTAAATAAGATTTAAATGAACTAGGCGCCGAAACATATTTTTTTAGATTTAATAGGGTGAAAGAATTTGTAGACAAATGTTTTGTATAAAGATAACCTTTTTAGGTTTGCAATGCGAAAACGCCATAATTAATAAATTTTGTATGAACTTCGTATCTTAAGATTCTAT